TGCAGGTGAGCAAAGCAATCCAGGCATTGTGGTCCTTTGCTTTCTGTCAGCCTGGATCAGAGCATTGGCTCCACATGGCTGCAAGCAGTGTCAGAAAATCTGTGTGGGCATCTTGATTTTTTCAAGCCATAGGTTCAAGATTGCTGACTATTAAAATAAAACTCTGGAACAGGGATATGAAATTCTTTTATTTTAGCTGATGAATGAGGTTTCAATACCAGCTCAGTTTATAGCCATGTGAGTCATGCAGCTATTCTAAATATTAACCCTTTTATCAGCTCAGAGCCCTTTATTAGCCTGAACAGGATTAATCCTAGAGCAACACTCCTTCTCCAAGGAGGCTATTACTTCTCCTGCACACTTGGGGGGAATGTGGGCAAGTCTGTGGTCTCACTACTGCAGTGAGGCATCATTTAGGTCCCATTCCTGTTTAAGATGAGTTCTAACCATGACAACTTGAGGTCACTGCTGCCTCCAAAATTATTCAGCATCCTGCAGCACTGAGTCCATGCTCATTCCCAGCTCTGCTGTCAGCTCTGCAGCCCTCACAGCACCAACACAGCTCTCATGCAGGTCATGCAAGTCTGCTGAGCTCTCAGTAGAACTTCAAGGCTTTCAGTTCCAAGTCTTTAATTCCAATAATATTTTTCCTCCATTCTTTTCCCCTTTTTTCCACCTGCCATATCAACTCCAGCATGTTACAGATAGCACTGTATTGTAATTGTAATCCAAGGAAAAAAGCAAGGATATTTATGTAACTCCTATGCATCCTAAATGATAATTTATGACATCTCCAATACAATCTGTGATGCAGAAACAGCCTTGAAACCATCATCTGTCTTGCATTTTGTGGTTGATTGGTATCCTGGTCAATAAGGAGCAAGCACATTCCAGCTGGAGAGCAGACATGGTTTGTTGTGTTATGGGTTTTCCAGATTTTTAATAAGAGCAATTTCTTATGCCTTATTTGATCATCTGTTATCCTAAACATATTAAATCCATATTAAACCTGCCAAACCCCAAATTTCATTTTAAAAAAGGTGAAAAGTCTGATAATTATTTTAAATAAAATTTGCTCTATTAGAATCAGCATATGGTAGCAATTTATAAACATTTGCTGCTGTAAGCCTGCACTGATTGCAATGCCCATTATGTTGCCTCATATTAAAATCAAAATATATAACCTATATGTCACAATGATGCAGCCTCCAAGTAGAAAAGCCATCAGCACAGCTTGTAGCAAGAAATTCTTTTAAATTTTATATTGTATTAGCAGGATTCAAATTTACTGTTAATATCAGAAACAAAACAGTGAAAGAAGGAATGGTGCTTCCATGGAAAAACCCAAAAAACCATTATGCTCAGCCCATGGGAGCTGTTTTATTCTGCAAATTGCCAAAAGAAATGCTGGTTCTGACACAGTTCACAGGGAAAAAAAAAATCATACCAACCAAGGGAAGCAACGAGCGAAGCGAGTTCCTGTTCAGAGGTACTGCAAGAAATTATCTTCTTACAGATTTTTGAGACCACACAAGCCCCAAACTTTGCCTTCATCTTGTGTAATATTTTTACTTTCTTTCAGGATTGTCAAAGGAAAATTGTATGGTAGGAAAGTAAGACAATAATTGTCTGTTTTGGGGGAAGATGAAGAACAAGGGCTGACGTGATGACTGGCAGGATACAGAGCTTCTCATAATAGTGTTATTTTAGGGAGAAGAATTGAGCAGTGGTTGGTGTCTGTTGCGAGTAACGCTGTGCAGTTGGAGTGAAGAATAATCATGAAGGTCTGTGGGAGTCTGTCTGTTCAAGAGCAAGAGTTTCCATGTGAATAGCACAAATGTCTGGAAACCAGCAGGAAGGGCATGGTGCTGATGAGGGGAAGAGGGCCAAGAGTCAGCCT